ATTTACAGTTTAACAATAAATACCAACTTGATTAACAAATTTAGTTCATTATACACACACACATATACTCAATTTGTTCATTTAGTGTTTTTTTTTTTTTTTTCCAATTTCTGTTCTTGCAACGCATTTTTTTAAAAAGTAAAGCATTTACTACTTTGTAATGTTGCCATTCCTTTTTCACGCAAGTGATGAAGTGTTTTTGGTGTAATTTTGTCCCATTCTTCCAGCCAACAACTCTTAAGGTGGGCGACAGTACAGGGTCTTTTTTATTTTACGCTTCAAAATGCATTATACATTCTCTTTTGGAGACAGTTTGGGACTGCAGACAGGTCAGTTGATTACATGCATTCTCTTCCTCTGCAACTAGGACTTTGTAATGTGTCCAGAATGTAGTTTTGCATCGCCTTGTTGAAATATGCATTGACATCCCTGGAAAAGAAGGCAGCATATTGTGCTCCAAAATCTCTGTATTTTTTAGCATTTATGGTGTCATCACAGAACTGCAAATGACCTTTGCCAAGGTCACTGACATAACCCCATACCATGACAGACCCTGGCTTTTGGACTTTTGGTAACAGTCTCGATGATCATTTTCTTCTTTGGTTTAGGGCACACAGCGTCCATTTCTCCTAGAAAGTAGCTGAAATACTGATTATCTGACCACAGTACACATTTCCACAGTACTGTATCCATCCCAAATGCCTCCTATAGCCCACACTCTAAAAATAACAGTTGTTGTTTAAACAACTTATTTAAAAGACATTATTTGAGTTTTTAGGGACAAATTATTTGTTTCATTTTTAATCCACTTAAACTTGCAAAAACTAATAAGTTAACTTAATTCCTTCATGTTGTCCAAACACAAATAGTTTGTGTGGAACTCAGCATTTTTTACAGTGCAGAGAAGTAGACGGCACTTCTGGACACTGATAACATCCTTTTGGCACAGTACAGTTTTAACTGGCATTTGAGGATGTAACTGTATTTGGCACTTGACAAAGGTTTGCCAAAGTATTCCTGAGTCTATGTGGTAATGGGATTGGAGATCATGTTAATTCAAGCTTGTGCTTCTGTCCTTTACACATTGAAATTCTTCCAGATAATTTTCTCATGTATTTGTTGGCAAACTGGCAATACTCGACCCATCTTTGCTCCTAAAGGACTTGACCTTTCTTGAACGCTTTTGTAACAAATCATAATTACAATCAATCACATCATTATTTAACCAATTTACCTTATTACTAGCCCTAAATTGCTCCTGTTCCAACTTTCTTTGGAATGTGTTGCAGGTCTGAATGATAGGAATATTTGTAATGTATATTGATTTTTACAAATCAAATGAAGTTGACCAGACAAAAGATGAACTATTATGTGTAGTTACAGCCTGCAATGAAATGCAAGTCAAAGTAAATTTTGATCACTGTCTTTTTTTTTTTTTTTTTTTGCATTTTCCAGACTGTCCCAACCTTTTCTGATTTAGGGTTGTATACATATACTGGGGCTGGACAGTGAAACTGATACTCCTGCTTTTAGATCGCAATAATTCATTAGTATGGTATATGGACTACTTTGTGGCCAATGAAGCATCACTTTGTCTTGGGAATGACAGATACAAGCCCTGCACATAGACATGCAGAGGAATTTTGAGCCATACTTCATGAATAGTGTCGAGGTCACTGCGTAATGCCAAACACAAGTAATAAGACTAGGTAATGCCATGATATTGCAGCCCAACCCATAACTGATCCACCCCCATGCTTTACTCTGGGCATGCAACGCTCTAGGTGGTATGCTTCTTTGGGGCTTCTTCACTCCGTAACTCTCCCTGATGTGGGAAAGACATTGGAAGTGGACTCCTCAGAGAAAAATACACGTTTCACATTGTCCACAACCCAAGATTTGTGCTGTGGGCACCATATGAAACCAACATTTGAGATTGGCACAAGTGATTAAAGGTTTGGCTATAACAGCCTAGCCATGTATATTGACCCTGTGGAGCACCAGACAATCAGTTTTGGTGGAAAAAGAATAGTTGAGGTGCACATTTAATTCTGCAGTGAGTTGGGCAGTTTAAATTGGTTTTGTTTTTTTGAATACAATCTGGGTTAACGCCTGGACATGCCTTTCACACAGCTTCTTCTTGTGGCCACTTATTCCTTTTGAATGTTCGTCCTTTTTTGGGGTATACTAACATTACCCTGAATACCATGGCTCTTGATACATCACAAAAACTTGCTGTCTTGGTCACAGATGCACCAGCTGTGCATCTGATGTGCACCAACAATTTGTCCATTCTAAACTCTGACATGTGACCCATAATGATGTGTGCAATGCAATATTTTAACCAAAAACTGTGATATTACCTTGCTAACCTGGCAGCTAGCTCTTTGTAACTCTCACATGATCGCCCATGGTCAGTACCTGGATCAGAAACCACATGGGAAAGCTGTCGGAAGAGGTGTTAGTGAGGCCAGCAGGGGGCGCTTAACCTGCGGTCTGTGTTGGTCCTGACGCACCATATAATGAAGGGGACAGTGAGCATGAATGTCGGATGAGACATTAAACCGAGGTCCTGACACTCTGTGGTCCTTACAAATCCCAGTATGTCCTTCGAAAAGAGTAGGGGTTTAACCCTGGCATTCTGGTCAAATATGCCCACTGGCCTCTGTCCATCATGACATCCCCAAATCATAATTGGCTTCATCACTGATCACCAATTAGCTGGTGTGTGTTGCGTGGTCTGGCGCAATATGGCTGCCGTCGCTTCATCCAGGTGGATGCTTGCACACCTGTGAAGGATTAGGAGATTCCCCCCAATGTGTAAGTGTCTTGAGTGTCCAGAAAAGAGCTATGTAAATGTGAAAGCTAATTAAACCTCTACACTCTTGTAGTCCAAATTAGTGGACAAGTTTAGCCCTGAAGCCTTTAACACTAAACTGGCCTGTGTTTCAGTTTTATTGTCCAAGCCTTGAATCGATATATGGATATGCCTGCTACACCCTGCTGAAAAATCCAGCTTAAACCAGCCTAGGCTGGTTGGCTGGTTTTAGCTGGTTGACCAGGCTGGTTTTATAGGGGTTTTGGCCATTTCCAGGCTGGTTTCCAGCCATTTCCAGCCTGGTCTTAGCTGGTCAGGCTGGAAAATGACCAGCAAAATCCAGCTAAAACCAGCTTGACCAGCCTGGTTTAAGCTGGATATAGCTGGTTTTGGCTGGACTCCCAGCTAAGATCAGGCTGGAAATGGCTGGAAACCAGCCTGGAAGTGGCCAAAACCCCTCTAAAACCAGCCTGGTTGACCAGCTAAAACCAGGCAACTAGCATAGGCTGGTTTAAGCTGGATTTTTCAGCAGGGACTAATTATTTTATTCGTTTTAATCGAAAAATGGGCTCTATGGCATTATGGCACCTGTACATTGACCTGTTTTAACATCTTAAACTTTATTACATTTATTTAATGAGTATATTTATGCCAATTCTGTCTATGCAATTCATTAAATATTTTTTCCAATATACAAATTGACGTTTTTTTATTGTTTTATTTTTGCATTATTTATTTATTTATTTATTTATTTGTTTATTTGTTTGTTTATTTATTTTTAATATTGTATGATGACTTGCACGACTGTGAGCAGAAAAACGAGGGGAGAAACTACAAATATAGTGGCCCCAGGGGCCTGCGTACGCGGCTGCATATCTGTCAGTCAGAGCGCTTGAAAAAAATTAAGTGGTTACAATGAGATGTGCTTTGCGCCGTGTGTGTGTATTTAACGGGGAGCGTATTTGTTTCCATGTAATTCCCAAATAATATAGGCTAATTGAGCGCATCAAATGTTTGCATTTTCATGAGTCCCGTGTTCTTATAGTCTATGAACTAGTCAAATTTAATAGGCTACTGCGAGTATCATTTTTGGAAATAAAAGTTTTTTTTGTTGTTTCAGAAATTAAAGTCACTTTTTAAAAAACAGGCGTAAGACCAACTTTTAAAAAATGTTAGATCATATGTAACCCTATAGGGCTAGCAATTTATAAGTTACCTAAGCTATTTCTAATTTAGTAGGCTGTTGCTATAAATTGGAAGTGTTGTCGAGCAATTTTCACTAGGCCTATATCAGCTTCGTATTCGTGGGCGCATGAATCAACCACATAATAAGCATCTTTAAATTTTAATTTCTTTTGTATGAATTCTTTATGCCGCATGACGTAAATCCGTCTGCTCTCTTCTATTTCTCTCTTTGTCTATTATTATTATTATTATTATTATTATTATTATTATTATTATTATTATTATTATTATTATTATTATTAATATTTTATTTATTTTAAATGGCAAAAATGAAATAAAAATAAATCGATGTAAAATAATCTCTCACTTCTTTTTTTTTTTCTTTTTTGATAGAGATAAGAGAAAGAGAATCGGTGCCAGAGAAGTCACCTTCACAAAGAATTGTAAGAATTAAAGTTAATAGAATTAATTATAATCAACGGCTTATCTAACCACAGATCAGCCTTTCATTGAGTGATTAGTGAGTGTTTGTGTGACATAGCCAGTTGATAACTGAACTAATTGATGCAGAATCCTATAAGGCTACGTTCTTCTGATATCTGTCATCTTTGGAAGTAGTTTTCCGCAAAATTATGGTCCCTCAAGTCTTTTAATTTTTACATATTTAAATTCAATACGCTTGCGAATCTCGGTCCAACATTGCAGCGCGCGTGCACTTATCCATAGAAAACGACATACTCTGCCATAATGGTTCTCTCGAATTTGCGAACAAGGTACAAGTTTATCATATCAGTATAAGCATCAAGATAAATGGGTTAATAAAGATTCATTTTGCGAGAGGTCTTATAGCGTCTAAATCAAATCAGTTTTATAATGCTCGAGAAATTCCATCTAATAGACTGATTAAATGCGTGGAGAAGAGAGAATTGGCAGATCAAGTTGGGCGGATCTGACACCCTTTTGCCTTTGGACCGCCTCTCCCGTCCCTCCTTCTAGCTTCTGTGGCTGCTATAAGCTCGTGTTTATTTTCCTCTCACTTAAGGAAAGGATTGATTCCTTTGGGACGGGAAATAAATCACTTCAGTTTGACCAAGGGTGAAGGATTTGGGGATCCTCTAGATTTACTCACTTTATCTGTTTATTTTATCTGTTTTTTTGTTCTGGCAGGAAAAAAACGACGATAAAAGTTGTAGGACATGATACTAGCCTATTTGATAAGAGATCTGCTTGATCGTTGTTTGAAAGAAACGTCGGCGCAGATTATAAATCATTTCGTATTGTTTCCACTGTGCGTCTTGGTGACACCGGGATCTGTCTAGCTTTGCCAGACTCTCTCTCTCTCTCTCTCTCTCTCTCTCTCTCTCGCTCTCTCTCTCTCTCTCTCTCTCGCTAACGCACACATACACGCACACGCGCAGGCGCGCGCAATAAGGGTACCTGAGAACACCATTAACGGGAAGAGAAACTGAGAAATCTAGGTTTCATGTTTGGGATTCAGGAGAGCATCCAAAGGTGTGGGAGTATTTTGAAAGAAGAACCCATCGGAGCCGGCATGAACACTGTCCGAACATGGATTCAAGGCGCCGGGGTGCTGGATGCGAACACGGCCGCGCAGAGGTAAGAGACCCCCGGGGCTGCATCTTTACCTCACATGGAGCGTGGACTAATCGTGCTGCTGCATTTTGGGGAAACTTTAACCGGACTGTGGAGAATTAAGTCTTTGAATAGCTTTGGTTTGTCGATCAGTGATCTTTGATGAGTTCCTCTGGATGTAAAGTTTGCGTATACTTGGGAAAGTTTTTCTTTTTTTTTTTTTGCATGCATAACATCTGGAGGTCCTATGACCACTGGATTGAACTTGCTGGAGAAAACTACTAATTTTAATAACAACAATAAAATGTAGCTTTTACTTGCGCAGTTCTATAAGCTTATTTAATTCTCAAAATCAGTTAACGGATTAACAATGTTACATGGGTTTTGTTTAACATCTTCAACTAATTTCTAAAGGATGTTGTAACACGGCATTTCTGCGTGTCTTTTCTGCAGTGGAGTGGGACTGGCCCGTGCGCACTTCGAGAAACAGCCGCCCTCAAATCTTCGGAAATCCAACTTCTTTCACTTTGTTTTAGCTCTTTATGATCGACAAGGTCAGCCGGTGGAAATAGAGAGAACCTCCTTTGTCGGATTTGTTGAAAAAGAGAAGGTAAGCTTGAGCATCAAACTCTGATTTTTAGCATCACCACTGTCGCATATTGTGCCCTTAAATATACAATTTGAATTTTAACATAGGCCTATGTGCAAAATAAACACCAAACTACGCATAACCTATTTTAAAGATATGAAAAAAGAAATAGACATATTAATTTAAACTTTAGACATTATATTTTATATATCAATACCTAAATATTACACAAGGTTAAATATTTTTTAAGATAAACTTTTATTTAAATTGGAAGGTTGTTTAATATGACCAGTGTTTATTACAGATGGTTTAATATTCATACATTTTGCTGGAAAGTTTTGCTCACAAAACAAGTCTGTTGTAATTATAAGCATTCAAATCAATTCAGTTTCTTGTTTTTTTCGGCCCCTTTACCAGAAGTAGGCTAAAGCAAAACGCAATTCACACATTTATATTAAATGATAATACATTTATTTAGGCTACTTAAATGTGACCATAGTAAATTGCAGACACATCAGCGAAATAATGTTGACCTCTTATAAAATAGATACATATCCAAATTGAATTTGGAGCGTACTAATTGCGCTAAAACAATTCTAGTGTTTAGTATGCGCAAAACAATTTACTAGTTCAAAGCAATGTAATTATGTTTTTCATTACTGTTTAGGATATTATTTTAAGACCTGTTGTAATATTATGTTGTTTATGCCTAGGAGACTACAGGAGAAAAGACAAATAATGGGATACATTACAGACTGCAACTTCTCTACAGCAACGGTAAGACTATTTGCGTACGAAGTGTGAGTTAGCGGACTTTGATTGATTGTCGGAATTTATTGCACTAAAATAGCAACATTAGTAGATGCTGTCATTTCAGCTTGACGAATAGGCAGTGATTTAAATCACGACTGTTTCTGTAAAAACAATTAAACGCAACCAGTGATTAACCCCTCACCGTGAACTATTTTATATTTATTTTATCCGAATCAACTATAAGTAATTAAGTTTTTAAACGCAATTATAATTCAGTCAAGGTTTAAATCGATTCACATCCTATTTCGACCACGCATTATGAATTGTTAATTCGAGGGAGAATTGATCATGTTCATTAGTGTGATCTGACAGGTTGTCTATCATTCTGGTCAGTTTCTAAATAAACCAGCGGTTATGTCTGCTATTGGTCAAGCATGATGTACACAGTGCTTTCTAAAACATATTTTAATTTTCAGTTCATCATAATAATATACATTGTGCCATTTTAACAATTTGACTGTATTTTATTTATAACTGAACTTAATGTTGCACTATTAATTTATGTTGCAATATGTTTTTTTTAATTTAGTTGGTCATTGTCTGTTTTATAAATATTTAACCATTTTAATTCAAATATGCATTTTAATTAAATTATATCTTAAGTATGCATATTTAAAAATAAATTATGCATATTTATATATATTATTTAAAAATGATTGTATCAATAAATAGCAATAGTTGTTTAAACTCCCTCTCTCTGTCTTATCTATCTATTATATTATAAAAATATCATATTAAAATAATATTGCTTTGATGTCTCACATGAAAATATCACAATTAAGCTATCAAAATGTGCTTGAGTTATTTCAAGAGTATTCTGCCTTGTGCTGTTTTAATGTAAAGTCACTGTTTAGTGAATGTGTAACTGGAAAATTAAATGAAAAAAATAAAAATAAAAAGGCTGATTTCATGTTTATGTTTTCTAGGCATCAGAACAGAACAGGATTTTTATGTAAGACTAATTGACTCCATGACTAAACAGGTAAGAGTTCATCTTGTCCTGCACACCACCATCTGCACATGCCATCAGTGGCTAATTTAAACATGTTGGGGCACCAGGACATGCAAAAGGTTGAAATGTTTGTGCCCCACACAGATGAATCTCACAGTGTTGTATACGTGCATGTGTATCCCCCAAAGGCAGGGTAATATTTTTACATGCTCAATATTTTTACATGCTCAATATCAACGGCATCTATTTAGAATGTTTTTCTGATTATATATTTGCTTGGTGTCTGTTTGTTTTATATGATACCTTTATATTCATTTTGGATATTTTTTAGATTGCATATGCCTTGCTAACCATTCGCAGAATCATTGTTTTCTTAGTGACATTTTATTCAACATGTACAAAATAACAAAATAAATAAATAAATTCACAAACAAATAAATAAATAAATGCATACACACAGTTGAAGTCAGAATTATTAGCCCCCCTGTTTTTTTCCCTCAATTTCGGTTTAACAGAGAGAAGATTTTATCAACAAATTTTTAAAAATAATAGTTTTTATAACTAATTTCTTATACTTGATTTATTGTATCTTTGCTATGATGACAGCACATAATATTTTACTATATATTTTTCAAGACACTTTTATATAGCTTAAAGTGACATTTAAAGGCGTAACTAGGTTAATTAGGTTAACTAGGCAATAATAGGGTAATTATTGTATAACAATGGTTCTGTAGACTATCGAAAAAATATATCTTAAAGGGGCTAATAATTTTGACCTTAAAATGTTTTTTAAAATAATAAAAACTGCTTTTATTTTCGCAAAAATAAAACAAATAAGACTTTCTCCAGTAGAAAAAATATTTTCAGATATACTGTGAAAATTTCCTTGCTCTACTAAGCATCATTTGGGACATATTTAAATAAGAAAAAGAAATTCAAAGGGGGGCTAATAATTCTGACTTCAACTATTTACATTTATAAGTATATTTTTAATAGTGTGTTTTGTAATTTGTACATTGTACATGTTTGTTGTAGTCATTGGTGTCGCATGTTATGCTTGGCTGCTTCTAGAGCTTTGGCTAATTACATTTATGGAATGTACAGTATGGCAGACCTACTTTATTTGTATTGTCTATTTCCTACATTTGATTTTATTTGTCACTCAAGACATGTGTCCCTAGGCCAGCCTGGTTTAGTGTTTGTATGTTTTATAGTAAAACACACACACACACACACACACACACACACCCATACACACACACACACATATATATATATATATATATATATATATATATATATATATATATATATATACAGTTGAATTCAGAATTATTAGCCCCGCTTTGAATTTCTTTTCTTTTTTAAATATTTCCCAAATGATGCTTAACAGAGCAAAGAAATTTTCACAGTATGTCTGATATTCTTTTTCTTTTAGAGAAAGTCTTATTTGTTTTATTTTGGCTAGAATAAAAGCAGGTTTTAATTTTTTTTTAAATTATTCTAATGTCAAAATTATTAGCCCCTTTAAGCTGTATATTTTACATTTTTCTATCAGCCTAGTTAACCTAATTAACCTAGTTAAGCCTTTAAATGTCACTTTAAGCTGTATAGAAGTTTCTTGAAAAAAATCTAGTAAAATATAATTTACTATCATCATGGAAAAGATAAAATAAATTAGTACTTAGAAATAAGTTATTAAAAATCTTATGTTTAGAAAAATCTTATGTGTTGAAAAAAATCTGCTCTCCGAATAAACAGAAAATGTGGAAAACAATTAACAGGGAGGCTTATAATTCTGACTTAGACTATACATATATAAATATGACCTATATAACCAAAATGAACTAAAATGCTGGCCCTGGATCAGCAATGTCATTCGAATTAACAATTAGCTTTTGTCGAAGAATGTCTATTAAATATTCCTGTTTATTAGCCGCCTCCTGCAAACTAAGAAAGGCTTGACACTAGGCTCTTTGCACTTCACTAAGGGTCGCTAACTTACCTGCAGGCGGCAGCTCCTTCTCCCTCCCACTTAAGCTGCATTGTGAGGAACATCAAAGCACATTAAACCCCAGTAGCTGCCACTTTGACAGCGTTAGTCTGGTAGAAGGAAGAGGTACTGTTGTTTCTTAACTATCTGCTTTGCTGCACTTCGTGGGAGGACATGGCACTTTGAGCAAAGTGTCGCTAGAGCGCTGTTTATCAGTGTCAAGTTAAAAAATAATCACCTAGGTGCGCTGGCTTCCCCCTCACAAATCTTTTGTAGTTGTTTGCCGGCAGTTTTCATGTCAGTCTTCCTGGAATATATTTAGCACTTGTATTCATTATTTTTGCTCAGGTATTACAACATGTATTAGATGTCAGAAGGAATGAGATTGCGACGCCTTTCGCTGTTATACTGTGTGCAAGAAACTTTCAGATGTGAAGACAAGCTATCGTTAAATCACTCACTAAAGAGATGTGCTTGGAACAACACTTAAAGTTTTGGAGAACATGTGTAATGGCAGTCTAAGGATATCAAATCCTATTCTGTGCCACAAATGTGCAACAAGAAGCTAGTTACTGTGTAACAGCTCAAAAAGCACTGTTGTGTGATTTATTTACTACATGCACAGCTCGGTTGCCATGTGTCCTGATTTCTTTTGGTGTATGAGAGTGAGAAAGAGCTTGAGATCAGATGTGGTTTTGCTTGGGGGCAGTTATACCTGTTGAGATGGTGAAATAAGACCTGGATACCGGCTGACCACAGCACAGCTACAGGTGTTTCTGCTCATGTTGTGGCTCAAGTTAAAGAACAAGCTTTCAGTCTGAATAGAAAGGAGTGAGAATGCAAGTATTCTAAGAGGCTACAGACAACCTGAGTAATCTTTAATGTTGTTCTCTCGTTTGTGATTAGGAGATATTGTCAGTTAGTGATCTAGCTGTTAGTTTGAGGAAAGTAGTCATTAGTTAAACCTGCAAAAATAAAAAAAGTTGTGTTTATCGTTAAATCTTTAGCGAGGCATAAAACAGTATACGCAGAAGTACCTTACAAACTAAGCAATTTGAAGTTGTTGTGCAGCTTCTTAATTTGCATGGATAAATCTTTCTGTCTCACACAAATATCAAGTGGATTCCGGGTCAAATGACTTCTGTAATGTGATTGCTGCTTTAGTGTGAAGCAATGATTTGAATTTTTAGTATTACTTTTTAAATGGCTGTGGGAACGACAACTACTAATCACAGAGACTGTTAAAGTGTTTTGCAATTCTGTTATAGCTAAAACACTTGCAGGCGACCACTCTGTTTATGTTGCAGTAGTAAAAACAGCTAAAACAGCTTTAGCTTGGACTGTAATTAGAGTCCATATTTTCTTAGTACTCTGAGTGGTTACAGAGCTTTTAATTCTGTGGTAAGGCTGATTTATGCTAGCGGAAGATGAGCTATAGGGCCTTTCTGTAGTCATGTTTTTTTTTTTGTCATGACAGTGATGTCATTGATTAGTTCATAGTTTAAATACTCAGTAAACTAAATCAGTAAACTAGTGTCAAAATTTAACTCTTATTAAAATTTTATTATTATTATTATTATAATTATCATTATTATCATCATTATCATTATCATTATTATCATTAACTCAGAACAATTTAGAAAGTTGACAAAATTACACTCCATATACTACACTTGTAGTATTTAATTTAAGTGAGCAAGAACATGGATTTTTTAAAGGGATGGTCCACAGTGTATTTTTAAGGCTTGTTTGTTCTAAGATGCTAAGCAATGTGTGCTCATGCTTCACTTGTAGAATATCATGTTTTTTTTCCTTCATATATCTTACTTTGATTATATACAGCTAGGCTGCGTCCGAAACTGCATTCTTCCATACTATATAGTAAGCCAAAATCAGTATGCGAGCCGAGTAGTGTGTCCGAATTTGTTGAATTCGAAAATCAGTATGCAAGAAGTACCTGGATGACCTATACTTTCGGCTAGATTCTGAAGTGTGCATCCCATGCATGCTATGCTACCTCATGATGCCCTGTGAGAGAATTCATAAATGGGAGTGAAGCGATGCAACTGACGCAAGTAGGTCACATGACCATGACAAAATGGCGGATGTAGCATGTCCGAATACCATACACACTGCTTACACTCATACTGTATAGAACGTATTTTTCTAACAGCCGAATAGTACATTTAGTACGTTTTGTCTTTCACATATATTCGGAATAAGCATGTATATGAAAAAATTAATATGAAAAGTTCACAAATCTTTTGCGAATTTGTTGTTTGTAATGTAGAACATTTGGAAAGCAGCCACAGATGACATGCATAGAGAAACTATCGCATGTAGCAACTGTAAATGACATCACCTGCATAGGAAGTGTGGGTGCCTAAGATTGCAAGCCTGAAGGTGAAAGTGCAAATCTGCAGCCAGACCCTTCTCAGGATGCCGGGGTTAAACCCTTACTCTTTTTCGGGGGGACATCGTGGGATTTTTAATGACCAGAGAATCAGGACGTCGGTTTGATGTCTCACCCAAAAGACAGCACCCACTGAGCAGTATAGAGTCCTTTTCACTATACAGGGGCATTAGGACATACACAGTCCACAGGTTGAGCACCCCCTGCTGGTCTCACTAACACCACTTCCAGCCACAACCAAGCTTGTGGTCCATGTGATCTTCCATCCAGGTACTGACTGGGTACAACCCTGCTTAGCTTTAGTGGGTGACCATGTGAGAGTTGCAGAGAGCTAGCTGCTGACAGAAAGCCTGAAAAACAAGAGAATAGGAAAAGAGAGCAAGAGTTGGGCATGCAGACAGACAGTTTTAGAACAGACAGGCAATATTATAATACATGATTATTGTGAGTTTGTAACTCATGATGGGGTACAAAACAGAGTTTGTGACAGTAGTTTGACAGTTAAATCTGTGATCAGCAGCTTCCGTGCCAACACATCTGACAAACACAGGCAGCAGACCTCCCACACTCTTCTCTCATCTGTCCCACATTTCCTCACTTTTTACCTCATGGATTGTTTGT